GCCGGGCGGGAGGCTGGGTGGAACAGCAACCGCTGTCGCCAGGAGCAGCCCAAAGAGGTGACTGAGCACAGGGCCCGGCGGACGGGCCAGCGGGGGGAAGACACTGCCACACTCTACTTTAAGGATCCAGCCGCAGATGCGAGCCCCGACTTAGTGGAGCTCCAGTACACGCAGCTGTAGAGGAGAGAGTTAGGAAACTAACGTTAGTGTGGAGAGCTGGGGGCAGAGTAGGGAGGTGTGCTCTGAGCCACTGACTGAAATCAAATTTGGTCCCATGTTATTATCCCCCCCGCCATGTTTTCTTTTATCTGTCCATTGCTCCCCACCCCTCCCTCTTAGACGCCAGAGCTCATCTCTTTGTTTGACACATTCTCTAAACCACATACAACACACTCCGCCCGACTGCTACCTTTACTAACACACTCGCAACACAGCGGCTTCTCGAGCCACTCAGGACTCGCCTGTGGCCAACTTGACGCGCACACTCAAGGCCATACCAGCACAAAGTGTTGAAGGAGTTAGTGGCGTGTCCTACATGCTTCCCAGCATGCCCCCTGCTAAAACAGCTGAGTCCCCCCGCTGACTATAATGACTCATTCTCCTAGCTCTGTACCCATTCAAGTGCTTGGTGTTGAATTATTGGTATAAACTCATTTTCTACTGTGGCTCTGGTAATTTCCTGCACCCAAGGGATCTGAAAAGAGATTAGAATTAGCAGGAGAGTGAGATCGCGCTGGCACAGAAGCATAACAGACACACACAGTTGCTTAACACTGTGGAACAATTTCCATTCCAGTGAGAAATCCCCATGAGATGTCATGAGACAAAAAAAGTAATTTATCATATCCAAGAGAACCTGAAAGTGCGGCTCACCCTGGGTTTTCACATTAACTGGGACATTATCACAGCTGGTCCATATCATCTGCTGTTATTGTTAATAGATACTCGAGCCTAACTGGGTGGCTGCTGAATGAAACCACACAGACGTCAATTAGCACGTCGCTCTCTTATTAATGAAATACCAGCCACTGTAACCCTCATGCTAATAGTTACACCAGGATCAAAGAGGAAACAGTTAAACATTCATGAAGTCTAATCAATAATGAACACAGACAACATCTGATGATCAATCTGTTCAGCACAAACTAATATCACTTAACTGTAGTGAGAAACTTCATACTGTACTGAATTATTTAGCTGAGAGCTGTCTGACCACACAGACAATAAAACCTGTCCGGCTGTGTCTCAGGGCCAGACTACAACCGGGTTTAGACAGTGGAAGAAAAACTAGGCACAAGTTGTGTTTAAATCCATGCATTTGCAAACTGTTCTGACACAGCCATGGTCACTAGCGAGATCAGGCCACGCTAAGAAGAAAGAATTCTGTAGAAGGGGTAAGTCAAATTACAAGTTGTGGTGAAGTTATGGGGCTGTGGTGTTCATTAAAAATCCAAAAGCCAGAGGCACAATCTGCTTGGCTTTCTGTCGCAGGAACCAGGGTGATGCTAACTTCCCTTCTCATAACGTTTAGTTTGAAATCCTTCACAAGTCTGCACTGGAAACCACAGACTCATCACCCTGCTGGTCTCACTGGACTGTAAGAGCCCGCAGTCCGCTCTGGGCTCCGGGTGTTGTCTCCCCTCTCTAGCTGAGCACAGACACTGGCTGCCCACAGCACACTGACAAGACAATAGGTTCAAATTAATCAGCTAATTAACTTGTTCAGATGTTTGGGATTTCAGCTGGTTGGGGCAATGCTCCGTCTTAAGTCTGCTCTCGTTCCCTGTGTCTATGTGACAAAAGGTTTGCTAAGAGATTCAGATTGACAAGCCCAAGCACATACAAGAACAGTATCTAGTCTGGAACTGTAACGCGCGCTCAGCATTTGCCTCTAGGCACTCAACATGCCCAAAGTCCCACCCCCAGACGACAGCAGCTTCCCCCCCCCCCCAGCACCAAACACAACAGACAGCCACCTCAGCAGAAACACACTGAATGTGATCAGGCTTCAGTCATGTGATACAAAGGCTTTCACGTGGATCCATAAACTACAGTGTGAGCAGACCATATTTACAGTACGTTTAGCAATAAGATGTGTGTCCACTGTCCCCGTCCATCACCCCTGGTGCTATCACTGTGTCACGTCTTATTGCAAGTTATATGTCAATGTGGACGCCCGTGTTATCTATCTCCTCTCCTTCTCTCATCTATCCTTTTACTTTTTATTTACACTTGACTGTCTATGATCTCGTGCAGGTTACTAAGGATTACAGGCTGGCAAGGGTTTCTGGTCCATTGACATATAATGACATTACAACTGCTTCATCGGAGGGGAGGAGGGACATTTGGACAGACAGAGAGAGAGGCTGGGATGAAGCAGAAGCTATTGATACAGGTCAGACTAGACCTCCTATACAACTATCAAAAATAAAGAAAATAAAACAACGACATATCTGTGCCATCGCCAAGGTCCTTCTGTTTCTACAGGGCTGATTTTGGGTCCACAGAGCAGAAACATGCATCATACCCGTTGTTCTGGAAATAAAGCTCAGATTTGTTCTCCATAAAAAGTTTAGTAAATCTGTCAAAAATGTAATTTACTATGAGAGGTGATACGTGCTCTCTTCAGAAAGCACTGTGACTAACGTCATCTGTTCATTTTTCCTGCATCTCTGCCATAAACTAACATGATCACATGCCAGTGACCATCTTTGTTTGTAGTCCTACATGCTGCAGGTGTAAAACCCACTGAAAAAACAAATCACAAATTTTGTCATGAAAATTTCAGGTAGCTCATTAACCTTCCACTTAAACTGTAAAAACCACTCAAGCTAATTGGCAGGAAGTTATTTCCAGGACCAGACACTTCAGCTCCATACAAAGGGAAAAACTGATCCAAATTAATGTGCTTGGTCATCTGAAAACGGACTTGTGCTCTTTTCAGACCAGACAATAATTAAGTTTGTAGTTAAGGCCTGGCCCTGGCTGCTCCATCAGCTCCGACCAAGAGCATCACTGCACCCCCGCCATCAGAAACCCTCCTGTGTCCCTACAGTGCTGGCTTTGCTTCAGTCGGTCACTCACAGTTTGTACGGGCTGACCTCTGACCTCACATCTACCTGTTCTAGGCGTGTTCAACACAATAGATGTTACACGGTGGTGTTGTCTTACATCCCTGCTGACAAGCTTAGTGCCTTTAAAACCAGCCCATTAGAACTCTAAACTCTACAGATAAACCAGTGCATAGGAATCTTTACAGCTGGGATCTGAAAAAGCAACAAGTTGAGCAATAGCCCAGTGTACGTCTCCGTCAGCAGAAAGAGTATCATCAGACTGGCAATGCTGCTTTTGGAAGAAAAAAAATCTTCTTTAACTTTGCTTAAGTCAAACCTAGTGCAATTAGTGCAACCAATCTTTTCTAATGCAACTTAGCCAAACCACGCTGAGACAACCCAGATTTTAGTCAGGGCAGCTTAAGTTAAAAAAAAAAAAAAATAAAATAAAAAAAATAATAAAAAGACATCTAACAAACTCTGGAGTTTGTCCAGAAATCATTCAACCAGCTGGAAACCGAACAAGTCAAAGAACTATGGAAAGAGTAAAATGTCAATGCTATTAGCTAGCAGCAAAACTCGGGTCAACATTTTAAATGTTCGGTACTTCAGGTTATACCACATATCTGCAACACCGCAAACACTCAGACATCAGCCTTCAGCTGTGCCCTGGCTTCAGTGCCACGTAGCAAGAGTTAGCATGCTACACTAAAATTCTGACTGTGGTAAACACGTCTGCTCAACATTAGCATGTTAGCATCAGAGTCCAGCCTCACAGAGCTACTAGCGTAACTGCGGCTTTAATGATGCTGGAAGCCAGCAGGCCAACTAATTAGCATCATGTGTGCAGACAGTTTGAACCACAAAGGTTAATTAGACTGCTTCATTTCAGTGACATAGAACTAGTGTGGATTACATTCTGTTCAGTTAATATCCCTCTGTGTTGACAAGTGTTTTTCACAGAGCTTCAGTCAGACATTACATAACAATATAATTGGCTTCAGCCATTGACACAGGAGAAACGCCCAGCCTCCACACAAGCATCCCCAGCAGTGACTAGAGATGAAGTTCAGACGCTGCCACTCGCCCAACACAGAGACGTTGATATCAGATGCACCATCTTATAGATCATCCTGTTTCAAAGGGCCGCTCAAATCCAAAATGAACTAGAATCTGTTCTTATCACACTCGAGCACAACCCTCTCAACAGGTTTGAAAGTAGCAGGAGGAAGAGTGATTTAACCCCCCCCCCACTGAGAGCACTCATTAAATTAGCTGTTTGTTTTCCAAATTAATGGAGGCTTTCAGATGGCGGCTGTTTCCTTCCTCTCCACTTACATCTGCTGCCTGCCTTTAACGACCAGCTGAGGTTTAATCCCAGGCAGTTGTGTAGGCTAGCTGCCAGTTGCCACAGCTGAAAACATATTTTAATGAGGTGCCAGTCTGCTGAAACAATAACCTGTGCTGAGATGTTTTAATTAGCCTTGAGAGAAGCAGAGAGGATCCCTCAGACCTGCTGGATCAACACTATGGTGGTGTGCTCCTTTAAAGTCAACAAAGCCTGAAGCCTTACACCGAGTCTCAGCTGTGCTCGACCACAGTGCATCAAGATGCACTGAGACTCGGTGGTTCCCCTTGAGCTGCTTCTCTGGTAGTTATTACACAGTATTAGAGGCATGCTTCACAGGAAGTGCTCTCCCTGCCACTCTACCTCAGCATAAACACTTGATGCTAACGGCATTTTTATCATAACTGCAAGTGTGCTCAAGGCCACCGCCTCCCATCTGCCTTTCACAGACAATCTTCTTCTCGTTTTATTCGTTAGTGTCTTCTGCGTACCAGCACTGTAGCTATGACCTCAGTAGCTCTGAGGGGAGGAGGGTTCTGACCTGATGTGTTCTTTACATTTGATCATTTTAACACTGCATGTTGATTTTCTAGACTGTATTTATAAATCCAGCTGTTCTCAACAAAAACTATTTGTACTATAACATTTTTTCCTGCTGGCTCAGCTTTCAGACAGAGAAACTGAAGGAAGGAAAGGGTTAACCCTAACTCCTTCCCAATAAAAGCCAGCCTGTTTTTCACCATGTGAAGCAGCAGCAGCAACAGAAGGTTTTG